CGGGGTGCAGGAGCGTGTGGGGCGTCTCTCTGTAGCCTGTGCATCATTTGGAACACGTGGATACTGTGCGGCACATCACAATCACACACTCTCCCTACGCGCGGCTCGTACACAACAGCGTTAGTCCTCGTGTACCAGCGTGCATCACAGGGCATACCTGTCCATCTGCCTCACGTCAGCGCACCGCTCCTCGCCTTTTCACGCTCTCGCTCTTTCCCGTGTAAAGCGCACACAGGCTCCTCCCACAATGCACAGATTAGAAGGACAAGACAAAACGCGAAGCAAAAACGAATCTAAATGTATGTTAAAGTGTTGGTACAGAGGAGCCAACAGCACAGAACAGACCTACCGCCACATGTGGCTGAAGTTTGCCTAATAAACGTGCACAAATACATCTGTGTTTGTCACGACGTGCGTTTGGTTTGGTAAATGTACAGAGGCCAAATCCCACTGTAAAACTCATACTAACCATGTAACTCCACTTAGGAACTTGGAAAAACAAGTTTAAAAATCCTAATCACTGTCTTCACTTTTTTCAGTTTTCTGTAAAGTCATATTGAAAGTTCTGTTAAAGAAGGGGTTCTTAAACTGAGGGTGAGGGTCCAAAAAATAGGCGCCGAGTGTTTAAGTTCAGTACAGTTTACTTGGCTTTGTAGTCGGTCCATCATTTTGACTTGGACATTTTATAAGTACTTCGCATGCTGAAAAAGTGTGGGCACCCCTGGTATAAGTCTAAATAATTCTGCTGTGTTCTGTCTCAATCTTTATGAAGCGTTTTATTGTCTGGGAATCAGTAAGTTTGCATTAGCTTGACCATGATGGTAAAACTCCGTTCTGGTCTGTGAAAATTAAAGAAAAGTGCTCATAAACTCATCGTGGTGCATAATTAGGACACTCAGACTGCAGAAGGCAAGTGAGGAAGAACTCCGGACCACTGCAAATGAACTGGTTCTGTTTTAACTATTTTCAGACAAAAAAATAAAATCAGGTAGAGCGGCGTAAATTGTAAATAAATAAAGTTATACTGATCCGTTTGTCTGTATTGAAGATTACCTTGGCCTCCCACTCCATCCCGGCCACAGAGATGCCCAAAAGCAGAATCACCGTGAGGGTCCCCACGATCCTGATGTCATTCAGCTCATCAGTCATCAGAGCGTCCACGTCCTGCGAGGAAAGACAGAGTGAACAGAAAAAAACAAACAAATACAACACCAGAAAACTACACCCGAAAACTACACTTGAAAACTACACCCGAATACAGAGCGTCCACGTCCTGCAAGGAAAGATAGAGTGAACAGGAAAAAAAACAAATACAACACCAGAAAACTACACCCGAAAACTACACCCAAAACTACACTAGAAAACTACACCCGAAAACTACACTAGAAAACTACACCCGAATACAGAGCGTCCACGTCCTGCGAGGAAAGACAGAGTGAACAGAAAAAAACAAACAAATACAACACCAAAAACTACACCCGAAAACTACACCTGAAAACTACACTTGAAAACTACACCCGAATACAGAGCGTCCACGTCCTGCAAGGAAAGATAGAGTGAACAGGAAAAAAAAAACAAATACAACACCAGAAAAACCACCCGAAAACTACACCCAAAAACTACACTAGAAAACTACACCCGAAAACTACACTAAAAACTACACCCGAATACAGAGCGTCCACGTCCTGCGAGGAAAGACAGAGTGAAACAGAAAAAAACAAACAAATACAACACCAGAAAACTACACCCGAAAACTACATCTGAAAACTGCACCAGAAAACTACACCCGAAAAGTGCACCCGAAAACTACACCCGAAAACTACACCCGAAAAGTGCACCTGAAAACTACACCCGAAAACTACACTAGAAAACTACACCTGAAAACAGAGCGCCAACATCCTGCGAGGAAAGACAGAGTGAACAGGGAAAAAACAAATACAACACAAAAAAACTACACCCGAAAACTACAGCAGAAAACTACACCCGAAAACTACACCTAAATACTACACCAGAAAACTACACCAGAAAACTTCACCCGAATACAGAGCATCCACATCCTGCGAGGAAAGACAGAGTGAACAGAAAAAAAACAAATACTACACCAGAAAACTACACCCAAATATGACACCAGAAAACTACACCTGAATATGAAGCGTCCACGTCCTGTGGGGAAAAGGGGTGTACAGATAAAACCAAAAACCAAACCCAAATAATACACCCGAACACTACACCCGAATACAGAGCTTCCAGGTCTTCATCCAGTCCAAATACTACACCAGAAAACTACACCCAAAAACTACACCCGAAAACAGAGCGCCCACATCCTGCGAGGAAAGACAGAGTGAACAGAAAAAAAACAAATACTACACCAGAAAACTACACCCAAATATGACACCAGAAAACTACACCTGAATATGAAGCGTCGACGTCCTGTGGGGAAAAAGGGGTGTACAGATAAAACCAAAAACCAAACCCAAATAATACACCCGAACACTACACCCGAATACAGAGCTTCCAGGTCTTCGTCCAGGTCCAAATACTACACCAGAAAACTACACCCAAAAACTACACCCGAAAACAGAGCGCCCACATCCTGCGAGGAAAGACAGAGTGAACAGAAAAAAAACAAATACTACACCAGAAAACTACACCCAAATATGACACTCAAAAACTACACCCAACACTACATCCAAATAATACACTAAAACACTACACCAGAAAACTAAACCCAAATACTACAACCAAAAACTACACTCAAATAATAAATTAAAATACTACACCCAAATACTACACCAGGAAACTACACCCAATTATGACACTCAAATACTACACACAAAACTACACCTAAATATTACACCAGAAAACTACACCAGAAAACTACACCTAAATATGACACCAGAAAACTACACCCAAATATGACACCAGAAAACTACACCCAAATACTACACCAGAAAACTACACCCAAATATGACACCAGAAAACTACACCAAAATACGGAGCATTCATGTCCTGTGAGGAAAAACGGGTGTACAGATAAAACCAAAAACTACACCAGAAAGCTACACCCAAATATGACACCAGAAAATTACACCCAACACTACATCCAAATACTACACCAGAAAACTACACCCGACACTACATCCAAATATGACACCAGAAAACTACACCCGAATATGACACCAGAAAAACTACACCCAAATATGACACCAGAAAACTACACCAGAATATGACACCAGAAAACTACACCCGAATATGACACCAGAAAACTACACCACAACACTACATCCAAATAATACACTTGAACACTATAACAGAAAACTACACACAAATATTACACAAAATAAACTAGAACACTACACCCAAATACTACACCAAAAAACTACACCCAATTTTGACACTCAAATACTACACCAGAAAACTACACCAGAAAACTACACCCAATAACTACACCCGAATATAGAGCGTCGATGTCCTGAAGGGTAAAACATGAAGAGTATACAGATAAAACCAAACTACACCCAAATACTACACCAGAACACTACATCTGAATAGAGACGGGTAAAACAGGTGTACAGATAAAACCAAATATTACACCAGAAAACTACACCCAGAAACTACACCAGAAAAATACACCCAGGGGACGGACTGGCAACATGTGCCTTCTGCAAAAGTCCAAAACATCCAGAACTAAAACAGGTTTAAAACAAGACTGGACCAGGACTAAAACAGGTTTAAAACAAGACCGGACCAGGACTAAAACAGGTTTAAAACAAGACTGGACCAGGACTGAAACATGTTTAAAACAAGACTGGACCAGGACTAAAACAGGTTTAAAACGAGACCGGACCAGGACTAAAACAGGTTTAAAACAAGACCGGACCAGGACTAAAACAGGTTTAAAACAAGACCGGACCAGGACTGAAACAGGTTTAAAACAAGACCGGACCAGGACTGAAACAGGTTTAAAACAAGACCGGACCAGGACTGAAACAGGTTTAAAACAAGACCGGACCAGGACTGAAACAGGTTTAAAACAAGACCGGACCAGGACTGAAACAGGTTTAAAACAAGACCGGACCAGGACTAAAACAGGTTTAAAACAAGACTGGACCAGGACTAAAACAGGTTTAAACAAATGTACGGTGACAGTGGATCTTAGTTGAATCTGTTAGTTGTTCTAGTTGCACAAACCACACGACACATGTGACTGACCAGACAGGATGTAAAGAAGGTGCAGAAACACCTACACTTCTGTTCTTTAAATGTGTCATGACAATTGAGGAGACCACAAGTGTTACTGCCATTTTCAGTCCTGGTTCAGTCCTGGTCTAAGGTTTAGACCTGGTTTAGACCAGGTTCAGTCTTGGTTTAGTGAAAAAATGCATAGCACACTCAGATGGCTGAAGTCCAAAAGTTTTTTTTTTTGTTTTTTTAAAAATAATGTTTCGGGAAAAAAAGCCTTCATCAGATAATTTGTTTTTGCTTTGGACCACAGTATGTACTGTGAAAAAAACAAGGACCTGATAAAGCTTCTTTTTTTTTTCCCCAAAAACATTATTTAAAATTTAAAAAAACATTTGGACGTCCACCATCTGAGTGTGTTATGCATTTTTTTAAATTTTACTGTTCCTTGTATTTGCACCTCTACAAGAAGTTTGGTGTGTGTTTTCTGTTTCATTTGATTCAGTCTTAATTCAGACCTGGTTTAATCCTGGTTTAATCCTGGTTTAGTCCTGGTTTAGTCCTGGTTAAACTGGACTGAACCTGGACCTAATTTCTTTGTTTTTCTGTGACAATTACAATAATATATTGAATCTTGGACATGACGAAAACAGGACAGAACAAGGTTCAAACCAGGACTACAGCAGGTTTAAACCAAATGTGTGGTGACAGTGGATTCCCAGTTGAACCTGTCAGTTGCATGAACCACACAGACCACACGTGGACATGTGACTGACCAGACAGGATGTAATGAACTCTGTTTGACACTTCTGATCTTTGAATCACCACAAATGAGGACACCATAAATGTGACATTTTCAGTCCTGGTTTAGCCCTGGTTCAGTCCTGGTTCAGTCCTGGTTCAGTCCTGGTTTAGTCCTGGTTCAGTTCTGGTTTAGTCCTGGTTATGGCCCGCGCAGCACTGGTCCTGGTCTGGTCCATCTGCAGCCTGGGTAAGTGAATCTTGTTTCTGTGTGTGTGTGTGTGTGTGTGTGTTGTGTGTGTGTGTGTGTGTGTGTGTGTGTGTGTGTGTGTGTGTTGTGTGTGTGTGTGTGTGTGTATGCACACTCTTGTGTTACTTGTAAATATAAGTTTTAGATGTATTTTTTAAACACTCTTTACTTTGCTTTTACTTTGGTTGTTCTTTTCGCTCTTCGTCCCCTGACCCGGCTCAGCTGTGAAGTGAAAAACATTTCAGGGACTTTATACATATATATAATAATAAATATAATATAATATAATAATAAATATAATATAAAATATAATATAATAATAACTATAATAATAAATGTATAATATGAAATATAAATATTATAAATACGGGTCAGTGACGTGACATTGGCATTTTTGTGTCCAGAAGCGACAACTTTTCTAGTTCTTAATATATAAAGGTTTAAATTGTTTAAATTGTTTTAGTTCATTTTAGTTGAACCAAAACACAGTTGGAAAAAGAAACTAAATCTGAAAGAATATTACAGGTTTAAAGTCTTAAAATGTCATTGGGTGAAACGGTCACACAGAGAATCAGTGAGAACTTTTGTTTTTTGTTTTGCACAAATTACAAAACTTGACAAAACTATAAAATTTTCTCTGTGGCATAATTTTAAAGCCTTGGCATAAACATGAGTTTTTACATTTTTTGTCTTGAACTTGAAAGAATCTCACAGGTTTAACTTGACCCTGTTGGAGTGTAACTCTTTCCTACATTCTGATACTTTACTTATTTCAATAGTTCCTCTAGTTTCTGAATAAGAGACATTTGAATGTCAAAAATCTGACCGTTTCCCTCCGTTAACACTTGACCGAACCCATTTTCAAAATTAACACAAAAGAACCACGGTACTTTTAATGTTTTAAATAAAGTTTTCCCCAAAAGTCGATTTCATCAAAGTCATTCAGTAAAACAAAGTTAAAGAGACAATTTCAACAATAATCTGAGATCTTTCCTCATGTGTCACCTGATGACATCACTGTGTGGACCCTGACGGACTCTGAAGTGGAAACAAGATTCAGATTTGGCTTTTTAGTTTTTTGACGCCTTTGTTATGAGAAATACAAATGACACAGTTTTGGGGCAACGTTCAAAATGAATTTAAAACTGTTCTCATTTTTTAAATATTCATTTGAAATCAGGTGTTGGTGTGAGATTCGACTCTGACGCTTTTGTTTCTCTGATGGATAAAGTATAAACCAGTTTAAATTAAACTGTGTGAAAAATGTCATTCAGTAAAACAAAATGTGCCGTTCGCTCAAACTGAATTTCATTTGATGAATCAGACCTGAGTCTGTTGTAGGAAACATGAAGCATTTAACTCAAAAACATCTGCATTTATTTTACCATTTTATTTGTATTATTTAACCAATTATATTTATACTATATTAAAATTATAATTTTCAATTAATCACATAAATAAAGGAAATCAGGTTTGGTAGATTCATTATTAATTATTCAAAATGCAGTTGGACAGTAAATATATTAAAGTCGTTACACAGATGTTGTTCGTGTGATTTGGTTGAGTTTTTATAAAGTCGGTTTCAAAACAAAAGCCTTTTTTTGAGTTTCAGTTGAACCGTCATTTCGTAACACGACATTTGGTAAAACACTGACAGAAGTGAAATGAGCCAGAAAAAGTTTGTTTTGATGTAAAAAATATATTTTTTAATATAATAAATTTAAAGAGGGACAGCGTTAACATGCTTAAGGTTTGTCCAATTTTGCAGTGTTTTACTCTTTATGAATTTGAAATTTAAACAATTTGAATGAAATTTTATGAAAAATAATCATAATAATAATAAATCCATGTCCGTGTGTTTATTTGTAAATCTGAGTTTGTGTTTTCATAATTTTCAATAATACAAGTTATTTTAAATTTAATAAAATTTTAACAGTATGTCTGTTTCACCAAATGACATTTTTAAAGACGTCCGGGTTTTAATTTCTTTTTTTTTTACAAAGTTCAAGGGGCATTTACGAAATGATAAAATATACACTTAAATATACCGTTTTATTTTCACTTTTTGGGCTTTTGAAAACTGCAAAACTTCACCGACTCATTTATTATGTTTCTGTTTGTCCAAAATGTAGAAAAGAGAAAAAAAAAACCTGACTGGACTGAACCAGGACTAAACCAGAACTTAACCAGGACTTAATCAGGACTCTGGGTCATGTGACCAACACATCACATTATGTGACATGTCTCTTGTGTGTGCAGGGGTCCTCACAGAAGACAAGAGCTCAGGTAAAGACACTCACACACCAGGCTAACCACTCTGCCACAGTAACACGGGGACCATGGAAGTGTAATAAAATAGAAGGTGAACACAAGGTGGCGCTGTGTAGTTTTCAGTGTCCTACACTCATCTGCACATGGGCCTAAAACTACATTTCCCTGCTATTTTACTTAACTGTCTTTAATTATTATTTTAATAATAATAATGATATATAATATAATAAATAAATAATAATAAAGCTGCTAGAGCAGAGCGAGCGCGGGCTCAGAGAGGAGCGAAACCAAATCTCAAAAATGTTTAGGCACTTTGACGAATTAAAAAAAATTATAAAGTTCATGTTGTGAAAATAGAAAAGAATCTATGGAGTAAGAAGCTTTCAAAAATATTTGTGCATATAGAATAGAAATCTGTGCGTATTTGGGAAAACGGTGCATATTTCTCTGTAGTTGAGCATAAAATAAATATTTGTAAACTCTCCAATGAGTCCAGTCGTACATAAAATATATTGTGTGTATTTTATCATCAGAATACGAATTGAAAAGTTACAACATCCAGAATTACAATCATAAAATGAAAATTTACTATTACACTTTCATCAGTACGAATACGAATTCACAAACGCAACTTTACTGTCATAAATACGTCATCACTTCACAGACATTATTTATGGAGCAGAAGAAACATCGATCAAGATCAAGACTGAGCATGTTTAAGTTTGTATCAGAGTAAAAACAGAGGAATGACACAACAAGGAGGTTCATTCAAATTTATTGTAAAAATGTCTTGTCTTGCCACATTGAATTCAGGGACCGAACGCTGCTGTGTGATATTGTGTAGAAACTCCTCCTCTGAACGGGAAACTGCACCGACATCTTAGCAGAAACACAGTGGAGCCAGTTGGTGAACATCAGATGTAACATTATCCCAGGGATAATGAGCAAATATCAGGTTCTCTGTGTGTTTAGATTAAAACATTCACGACTACAGCCACAGTGAGCATCAGTCTGAACCTTCATCTCTGCTGCATTTCTCACATGAAATGGGACCAAAGGTTCCTCAGGACGCTGAAATGTCCCAGTTTACACCAAACACCAAACTGTCCTGGTTACAGACACTGGGTTAAATATGAGTTATAATGAACTAGCAAATCCATCCACGACACGACACGGGGCCGTTATACTTACCGGTAAATACTGTAAACATACAGAGGTGTTGTCTGTAAACATGAACATTAATTGATGCTGGAAGCTGCATTAAACTGTAATGTGTAACATTTCACTGGCTGTGACGTCTGTAACCAGGAAGTTTGTATGTATGTTTATGTATAAAAATAAATAAATAAATAAAACACATTACATCACGTTACATCTGATGTTCACCAACTGGCTCCACTGTGTTTCTACTAAGATGTCGGTGCAGTTTCCCGTTCAGAGGAGGAGTTTCTACACAATATCACACAGCAGCGTTCGGTCCCTGAATTCAATGTGGCAAGACAAGACATTTTTACAATAAATTGTAATTAATCCACCTGTTGTAGCTCCTTGTTGTGTCATTCCTCTGTTTTTACTCTGATACAAACTTAAACATGCTCAGTCTTGATCTTAATCGATGTTTCTTCTGCTCGATATATAATGTCTGTGAAGTGATGACGTATTTATGACAGTAAAGTTGCGTTTGTGAATTCGTATTCCTACTGATGAAAGTGTAATAGTAAATTTTCATTTTATGATTGTAATTCTGGATGTTGTAATTTTTCAATTCGTATTCTGATGATAAAATACACACAATATATTTTATGTACGACTGGACTCATTGGAGAGTTTACAAATATTTATTTTATGAGCAAATACAGCCAAATACGCACGGATTTCTATTCTATGCACACAAATATTTCTGAAAGCTTCTTACTCCATAAGAATCCCTAAAAAAACATCTTTTGGTGCTTCTTAGTGCGTGAACAAGATGGACGTGTAGTTGAGAGCGTCCGAGAGCAAAGCCTAGATATCCCCCTCAAATTCAAGACCAAAACCCTTTGATTTATCAGTTCTTATTGTAATGAGCGTGGGTGTGAAGACTAGAAGTCATACAAAGCGTGAAACACACCAAGAAGAGGAGGAAATGAACAGCGCAGAACAACAACATGACAGTGCGGATAACGTTAGCTACATGCTAAAGGAAATTCAGAGAAAACTGCAAATATTCCGCATGGAAAATAAAGAAGATCGTCAGAAAACGAGAGAAGAACTGAGACAAGACATGAAAACTGAGTTGGCAACTTTGAAGACTGAAATATACCAAAGCATAACCACAAACACAGAACGACAGGGTGATCATATTTCTGTTTGTGTAAACCCGGACACGTCACCGGGGCTGGGAGGTCGGGCCTCGACACTGAGCTACAGTCGTCCCTCGATATATCGCGGTTCATCTTTCGTGGTCTCGCCGTTTCGTGGATTTTTTATTTTATTTTATTTTATTTTTTTACAGCGTATGAACACGTGTGGGTCAGGACTAAACCAGGTCTAAACCAGGACTAATCTTGGATTTAAGAGAGAAAACGCCGAGCAGTTTTTCTGCAAAGCGCAATCGAACATCTGCCATGTTTACCTCCGTGAGGTGCGGAGCTGAGCCGGTCCTTTCTCCTGCGGTCACCTCCGAGCCCGTCCCGACACTGAGTCCTGGTTCAGTTCTGGTTCAGTTCTGGTTCAGTCCTGGTTCAGTCCTGGTTTAGTCCTGGTTTAGTCCTAGTTTAGTCCTGGTTTAGTCCTGGTTTAGTCCTGGTTCAGTCCTGGTTTAGTCCTGGTTAATCCTGGTTTAGTCCTGGTTCAGTCCTAGTTTAGTCCTGGTTAATCCTGGTTTAGTCCTGGTTCAGTCCTAGTTTAGTCCTGGTTTAGTCCTGGTTCAGTCCTAGTTTAGTCCTGGTTAATCCTGGTTTAGTCTTGGTTCAGTCCGGGGCGTAGGCAGACTCTGTGCTGTCGGCTCTATTACGGAATAAATGAATCTTCAGTTCGTTACATAAAGAAGGAGGAAAATAACAAAAGGACGACAGCAAGCAATAAGTTTTAAGAAGAAAGTAAAAAGTGTTGCACCTGTCGATCCTGTCGGAGAAAAGTGTATAAAGTTTGTGCTGAGGTTTTACAGACTTAAAACAGATAGAATAATTGTAAAATATAAAGTTGATACTTCGTGGATTTCACCTGTCGCAGGTTATTTTTAGAACATAACTCCCACGATAAACGAGGGACACTGTCCTCTCACCTCAACCTGTGCACATGGACTCACACTTGTCCCGACCGGGACGGAAAACCGAGAATTTCTTGTACAAGTCATTGTTAAATGCACATTTTCGCTTCGGCATGTTTCAGACTGACCGACTGTTTGTGTCTCGCTCCTTCTGAGTCAGAGAGAACTACGAGAGACGATCAGTTTAATGCCCCTAATGAAAGGTAATGAAAACCCGGACATTTCCATCACTTAAAAAAACAACAAAAAACCCGGACACTCATTGAACGTATCCATGAAGGACGCTTTGACCAAAGTTGTGGAAAAACATAGGATTATGCAAAACAAACTGGCAGATTTGGAGGGAAGTTCGAGGAGGAATAACATTCGCCTCTATGGAGTCCCAGAAGGAGCAGACGGTGGCTCGATGCTACAGTTCATGAACGGACTATTAAAAAAGGCTCCTATCCTGCAACAAGACCTAGAACCTAGAGATACAGCGGGTCAACCGAGCCCAAACGCCAAAACCAGATCAAACTGAGCCGCCCAAGTCCATAATAATAAACTCTCAGGAGTAAACACGTAAGGAAGAGATTCTGAAAAAGGCCTGGGCAGGTGGAGTAATGCACGAAGGGCAGCGCACATCGTCTGATCATGTTTACGCTCCGGAGGTAGTTCAGAAGTGCAGAGAGTACGGCAACATCAAGAGGGCTCTGAAACACCAAACACCACTGGACAAACTACACATCCAGTGGGATACAGGCACGCGTCCTTACGGGAGGGCACCTGACGCTGCACTGGAGACGAGGAGAAGAGGAGACGCTGGAGCAGTACTGGCATCGGATCCAGCAGAGATGAGGAGATGATAATCAAAAAATGTAAACCAGGGCAACTTGACCAATCATTCAAACAAGCAGTCTGTACTCTTTTGAAAAATGTAAAGCTAAAACAACTAAAGGAGAAATTTGATTTTTAAGACTTTTATAGATATTTGCAAGTGAGAGATGACTATACAAAACAAAGTAGACCTGACTTATGGGAGGACACACTATACTACAGGTGTAACTGGGGTAGTGAAAGATTCATATGAACAAAAAAAAATATAAAAGTCATTTCAGCTTTCTACAACTCTCTGGGGGAATGTAGAGAAGGAACAACTCTTTACCTAAAATGGGAAACAGAGTTGTCAGTTAATATAACAGATGCAGAATGGTTTCAGATGTGTAAAATGCACCATAGCACTGTATTTTCCAGGCCATTAGATGTCCTCTTAAGCCTCTAACCGCATCAAAAAACGACCGCACACCCTGCAATCCAGAGCGCCCCATACACGAATCCACTCAGGTGTCCCAGCACGACTTCAGTAAACTACAAAGCCGCAAACACACACGGAGCAGACAGCGACCGCACACAGAAACACACCCACAGACACACTCATCACTCCACGCCGACGAGGAACGGAACGGAGGAACGAACCGAAAAAGCGAGCGCAATGTGCTGCTTCTAGACACGACTGAACAACTGAGTCACTGCGAACACGCCGACAATCTGTTGGTCCCAGACACACCCTCCCTACACGCCACAACTGAACAAAGCCCAGAGTCACCGTGAACGAACAAACAAACAAAACCACTCACCCATCACACTGTTGGGTTTCCTTTAAAGTCCCACGCCGTTTATTTGTGGAAAAAGTTCAAAAATAGACCATTTAATGACAGTGCGAATTATAATCCAGAGAGACTAATAGCCCGGAAAATACGGTACAACTAATTCACTGTTGTGGAGGGGATACTGCTGGAAGACACGCGTTTCATTACACCTAAAATCAAGAGTAGGCAGAGCTCCACCCACAGGAGCACTGGAGGTTTTGTGGACAAATGGACGCTGATCACACACGCGATACAAGCTGCTTCTTCAGTTCTGAACTGAAGAAGCAGCTTGGATGAGCTGAGAAACGTCTTCAACCAAACTAACTTTTGTCCAGTCGACAAACTGAATTTTCTCCTCGATGTGGATTCTACCTGAACGACTCCGAGGGATTTTTCACACAGATATTGGGAACAATTAAACACAACCTTAACTAGAGTTCTGGGATATGGAATTCCAAACACGTGCCTTGTGATGTATCTGGTAAATATATCAGATGTAGTAAGGAAGGAGGACATGTATTTGACAAAAATTGTTTAAGCTGCATCTAAAAGGAATTACAAAGAGTTGGTTACAACCAGATCCACCTGCACAACGAGACTGGATCAGGATTGTGGAAAGAATAACATATAATCTTAAACTGAAAGGTACAAATACGATGAGCAATGGGACAAGTGGAATGTACTCATCAATGACACCAGTAAAACAACATAGTACATCAAAATGGCAATACTAAATGCATGTTTAAATAAGAACCTGTAACTCCAGACTGTTGTTACGTTGTTGTTGATTTTATATTGTTTTTTGTATGTTTTGAAATGTTACTGAAAACCAATAAAAACAAAGTTATAAAAAAAAACAAAAAAACATCTCTTTGTGAAAGCCGGATGCCCTGCCAGAACACGGGCAGTTTGTACTCAGATAAATACACTGAGCTCTGTGGTCAGGTCAGAGGTCAGAGGTCAGAGGTCAGGTTCGATGGGAGAATAGTTTGTGGGCCCGAGCTCCCGGACGCTGCAGTACCTGGAGCAGCCACTAGTCCATCTGACCCCGGACAGAGGGGGAGGGGCTTATCCAGTTTTTATTATAGATCAGTGCACATGCACACTCCACTCACAGACATCAGGAGTCTAACCCACAACCTCCTGGTGAGAGGGAGGACACAGGATAAACACTTCCAGACATCAGAGCGTTCCTGAGAGCCGCCGCTCAAACATCACTAAGGACCTGGCTCCACTGCATGTGTATTTCATTCTATACGAGCGTAAAAACTGCAACTTTTGGACACGTAACTTTTAGAATGAATGGAAAGTGACTGAGGGCTCCACTGTTCCTCTAGACCAGTGCTTCTCAAATAGTGGGGCGCGCCCCCCTGGGGGGGCGTGAGGCTCCGTCAAGGGGGGCGCGTTTGACCTCGGGGAACATGCTTTTTTATTTTTTTATTTTGATTTTTTTTTTACTGTCTTAAGGGCCGTTCACACCAAAGCGTCAAAAAACGCCTTGACGCCTCTATTTGGAGCCTTTGCATTTGAGTTCAGACGCCCCCGACGCGCATCTTTGACGCCGTGGACGAACGGGACAAAAATACTTGACGCGCGTCCGTTGCCCTGGAAACAAGAGCCCGGTCCCGCTCTTTTCCCGAAACAATGTCAGACCAGACTGAGAGAGTGTTTTTATGACATAAAACATCAAAGGAGGAGATCGGGTCGACGACTTGGGCGTATATATATTTCTACTCCGCTAATGACACTGGATCAGTCCCGGTCTAGTCCTGGTCTAATACCGGTCTAGCCCTTGTTTAGTCTCGGTCTAGTCTCGGTCTAGTCCTTGTTTAGTCTCTGTCTAGTCCTGGTTTAGTCCTGGTCCGGTCCTGGTGTATTCCTCGCGATCGGCTCGGTGATTGTGGTGTATATATTTATTCTCCGTTCATGTTTGTGGTTCTCGTTCTGGTTCTCGGGTCTTGCTTCCTGATAATAACGTCGCTGCGTCTCTGGATACTCGTCCCTGATTGATTGACGCGGCGCGTCTGACGCGAAAAGTTCAGCATTTTCAACTTCTTGACGCTGACGCCTTGGACGCGCGTCTTGGCCGCTGACGCCAAAACGCTGAAGACGCGCCGCGCTGACGCCAGATTCGCGCCGCGCTGACGCCGAAAACGCGCCGCAAAAACGCAGGACGCTCTAGTCGCGCGTCCACATAGACTTTACATAGAAAGTGGACGCTTTGACGCTTTGGTCTGAACGGGCCTTTAGAATAAAGTGCAATTGCACTTCCACTACATTAGGGGGCAGTGGCGCTCTCATTGGCAGAGTGTGCGCAGGGAGCATTCGCTCGGTGGTGTAGGAGTTTTGTTTGCACTGAGCATGCGCGCTTTGCACACAGCACAGAGTTTGAGTATGAAGTGTAGACACGAAGTGTAGCAGACCCTCAAGTGACACCATGAAAAAATATTTAACAGGGATGAGAAGACAGCGGAGAGAGACGGAGATAAAGAGACAAACGAAAATCTCCCGAAAGCTAAGACGAGGAAATATGACGAAGCGTATGTAGCGCTTGGCTTCACTGTGACTACGGTGGGAGACGAGGAAAGACCGGTGTGTTACTGCGTCTAAAAATGTTGGCAGCCGACAGCATGAAGCCCAATAAATTAAGGCGTCACTTAAATACATTACACCCCGATCACTCTGATGAGCCGCTTGAGTTTTTTCAGCGAAAACGTGCCGAATATTGCCGACAATCATCCCGCTTGTGACTGCTACTTCAGTAAACCAGTGAGCGTTGTTGGCATCATATAAGGTGACAGTGTTACGCAGAGGTGCACTTATAACAATTTTATAGACAAATGATACTATCTATAGTCACGCAGGGGGCGCGAGATGTTTTATTCGTCCCAGGGGGGGCATGACAGAAAATAATTGAGAAGCACTGCTCTAGACGCACGTGTGGAGCAACACGTCCTGCACACGGAGATTATCAGAAAAATCCATCCTATTATCTGACGCTCTATGTGAGCATAGGCACATGTCCCCGTCAAAATACACAGAGCATGAAGCTTTGGTTGTATTTGTGTGTTTTCCATCAGCACATCTTGCTCCTGGGGCAGATCTGTGTCGTGTGAATAAGCCCAGGTCCAGAAATACTGTGAAATATAGCCACAAGCAGCAATGATCGGCCCTCATGTGCGCCTACGCCACACGCCGCAAACACCACACCCCTCAGAAAACTGCGCCCTGCACTAACGCTAATAACCCTTAAATCTAACCCTAGTCATAATCCTAACAACAGACTCAACCCTAACCATAACTCTTACCCTAACCCATTAATTTTTCAAAAATTTGCATGTTTATTGAAAAAAAATGGCGGACTTCCGGTTTGAAAAGGGGCGTGGTCACAATATACATGTTTGTTCTTATTGCCATGATGCATGTGGATACCAAATTTGGTTTGGCTACGCCAAAGTTTGTGTGAGGACGTCCCATTGGCAAGGACAGGATTTTGGCTTGTTGCCATGGCAACACAATGTAAATGGGGTTTGGGCATCATTGAGTTTTTTAATCGAGACCATGTCACAAATGTGGATACCAAATTTTGTGTATCTGTGACAAATAAAATGTTGTTGTTCTATTCAAATGATCTAGGGGGCGCTATTGCACCCATTTTTCTTACATCAGTCTGTTCAGGGTCCGGGTGTGAACCCACGATTAAAATTTGAGTGAAATTGGTCAAAGTTTGTGCCAAAATTTGTAGATTTTACCAATGGAATAACATGGAGTGTTTATGTCATCGCTATGGCAACGCCATAAAAAAATATGACATGGGTGTCATTGACTTTTGGATCAGGATGCCAAAATGGAATTTTGTGCAAAATTTCTGAAGTTTTTGAACAACTATTTGGGAACAAATGATTTTCTCTCATATTAAATTTTGTTTCAATCTATAGGGGGCGCTAATGCACCAAATTAATAATTTTCACATGAAGTAGCTTCAGGGCAGAGAGTTTAACAAATGTTTCAAATTTCATTGAAATCGGAGTTCGTTTGAGCAAATGGGAGCAATTTGTAAATGTCAAAAATGTTGTGCATTTTTTGCTGCTTCACTGCTCAGAGATCGTAAGACGTGTGTGAACAATTTGGATAACTTTTATTGTTCTACGTCTTGAGATGATGTGGACCAAATTTGAGCTCTGACGTGCTCGTCATTCACCGTCTCGTCAGGGTCTCCCATTGACTTCCATTCATTTTAGCAGTAGTAAATATGGCTCAGGCCTTGGGTGTGGGTTAGTGGGATACTGCTGTTCGTGCCGGGGGCGACCGAGGACAATGTTGCATGTCGTCCTGTCGCATTCACCCATGTGCACGTCGCTCCCCATTCGCTCCTCGTAGCAAAAGCAATAGGCCCTACGTCCTGTCGGGGCTCGGGCCTAATAATATTCTGATACGAGAACAATGTTCCGCTTTTTTTTGGCCAACAAACTATACATTTTCGGAAACCTCTGGCGCATTGCTACGTCATGGCGAGGGTCCCTGGTCACTACAGGCGAGTCACGTCGCGCCATTTCACTTTCGGGCCACTTGAAGCATCACTTTGTGATACTAATAGGTCTTTCGCCAGCCTCTGACGCTCAGGCCTAATAAGAGCTTTAAAATTTACTTTTGAAATCCTGTCGTTTGCCATGTTGAGTCTGTACAGAAGGTTTCACAAGTGTGTTCTGTTAGTTTCACTGTGGACCTGATAAAAGAGACTAAACACCTCAGTCAAGTTTGATCGTCTTTCCCTTTGACAAACACAGAGTCAGTGCGGCGCGTGGACGTCCTGCTGCAGCTGTCAGTGGAGTCGCCTTTGCGTTGACGAGCGGCTGTGGTTTCGCGAGGTTACACGTGCAGTGGAGCCAGGCCCTAAAACATTTGCATCACTTCATTGTAGTTGCTGATTCAGTGGAAAGTTACTCAGAAAATGCTTAGGTAAAGGGGCGGGGCTTCACTGCTCAGGTAAAGGGGCGGGCTTCAGTATTCAGGTAAAGGGGCGGAGCTTCACTGCTCAGGTAAAGGGGCGGGGCTTCACTCTGTCTCTTGTCTGTTCAGAGCCGCTCAGGTTGGTGGGAGGAGCCAGTCGCTGTGCTGGAACTGTGGAGGTGAAACACAGAGGAGAGTGGAGACGAGTGGGGCCCTATAGACGTTGGGACCTGGAGGCCACAGCTGGTGTGTGCAGAGACCTGGACTGTGGCTCTGCTGTTTATAGAGAAGAGAGAGATGATTTTCCACAGAGTCGTGTGTGGGGGGTCTCACCTGACTGTGTGAAGAAGTCTTCAGTGAGAGAATGTGTCACTCGGTCATCCTCCTATCCCTCTTCCTCGGGTCTGGAGGTGAAGTGTTCAGGTAAAAGTCTTGTCTTAAATTCTCAGGTTGAATCAGTCCAAATTCATCTTTGAGTGAATAAATGAGAAGGAAACAACTACAGCACGATTAGAAGCTCTGAAAAATCCATTTGACACAAAGTTGAATATTGTGTTTTCTCTGCAGCAGTGACGGTGACACACGTGTGTGACAGTGACACACGTGTGTGACAGTGACACACGTGTGTGTGACAGTGACACACGTGTGTGACGGTGACACAAACCTGTGTGCTTGTGATGGGAGGAGGCTGGAGTGGATGTGTCTTTGTTTCTTGGTGCAAGTTGCTTCTAAATAAATCATATTTTTCAGAGTTGTGTCTCTGATGATTTAATTCATCAGAAAATAAAGCCGTTTTTGTCTTAAATGTGTTTCATTTACAAAGTAGAAGCATCTGTATATTTGAAACCAAACCCCTCTCAGTTTGAGTCCACGCTGTCCTCCCAAAAGGACACGTGTCTCTGAGACGCAAACTCACAAAACTCCAACACCACACTTCAAATTCCAACTGAGTTTGTGTTCAAGCTCGTTTCTCCAGTTGGACGTCGAATCTTCACAGTTTCTGTGTTTACATGAACACAGCAAGAGTCCTATTGGTTCAGAGTGATGATGTCACACATGTGTGTGTCCTATTGGTTCAGAGTGATGATGTCACACATGTGTGTGTCCTATTGGTTCAGAGTGATGATGTCACACATGTGTGTGTCCTATTGGTTCAGAGTGATGATGTCACACATGTGTGTGTCCTATTGGTTCAGAGTGATGATGTCACACGTGTGTGTCCTATTGGTTCAGAGTGATGTCACACGTGCGTCCTATTGGTCACAGTTCAGAGTGATGATGTCACACGTGTGTGTCCTATTGGTTCAGAGTGATGATGTCACACATGTGTGCGTCCTATTGGTTCAGAGTGATGATGTCACACATGTGTGTGTCCTATTGGTTCAGAGTGATGATGTCACACATGTGTGCGTCCTATTGGTTCAGAGTGATGATGTCACACGTGTGCGTCCTATTGGTTCAGAGTGATGTCACACATGTGTGCGTCCTATTGGTTCAGAGTGATGATGTCACATGTGTGTGTCCTATTGGTTCAGAGTGATGATGTCACACATGTGTGCGTCCTATTGGTTCAGAGTGATGATGTCACACATGTTTGCGTCCTATTGGTTCAGAGTGATGATGTCACACATGTGTGCGTCCTATTGGTTCAGAGTGATGATGTCACATGTGTGTCCACAGACTCGGTGCGGTTGGTCTCGGGGTCCGGTCTGTGTTCAGGATCAGTGCAGATCTGGGACGGGTCCTGGACCGGGGTCTGTGACGGGGACTTGGACCAGCGGGGGGCAGAGGTGCTGTGCAGGGAGCTGGACTGTGGGGCTCCTTCTCTCCTCCAGGGGGCGCTCTCTCCTCTGGGGCAGACGTTCCACTGTGAGGGACATGAGTCTGCTCTGATGGACTGTCCCCGCTCCAACTCAAGCACCTGCTCCTCTGGAGCCACTGTCAACCTCACCTGCTCAGGTAAAGGGACGGGGCTTCACTGCTCAGGTAAAGGGGCGGGGCTTCACTGCTCAGGTAAAGGGGCGGGGCTTCACTCTGTCTCTTGTCTGTTCAGAGCCGCTCAGGTTGGTGGGAGGAGCCAGTCGCTGTGCTGGAACTGTGGAGGTGAAACTCAGAGGAGAGTGGAGACGAGTGGGGCCCTATGGAGACTGGGACCTGGAGGCCACAGCTGGTGTGTGCAGAGACCTGGACTGTGGCTCTGCTGTTTATGGAGAAAAGAGAGATGGTTTTCCACAGAGTCGTGTGTGGGGGGTCTCACCTGACTGTGTGAAGAAGTCTTCAGTGAGAGAATGTGTCACTCGGTCATCCTCCTATCCCTCTTCCTCGGGTCTGGAGGTGAAGTGTTCAGGTAAAAGTCTTGTCTTAAATTCTCAGGTTGAATCAGTCCAAATTCATCTTTGAGTGAATAAATGAGAAGGAAACAACTACAGCACGATTAGAAGCTCTGAAAAATCCATTTGACAGAAAATTTAATATTGTGTTTTCTCTGCAGCAGTGACGGTGACACACGTGTGTGACAGTGACACACGTGTGTGTGACAGTGACACACGTGTGTGACGGTGACACAAACCTGTGTGCTTGTGATGGGAGGAGGCTGGAGTAGATGTGTCTTTGTTTCTTGGTGCAAGTTGTTTCTAAATAAATCATATTTTTCAGAGTTGTGTCTCTGATGATTTCATTCATCAGAAAATAAAGTCGTTTTTGTCTTAAATGTGTTTCATTTACAAAGTAGAAGCATCTGTATATTTGAAACCAAACCCCTCTCAGTTTGAGTCCACGCTGTCCTCCCAAAAGGACACGTGTCTCTGAGACGCAAACTCACAAAACTCCAACACCACACTTCAAATTCCAACTGAGTTTGTGTTCAAGCTCGTTTCTCCAGTTGGACGTCGAATCTTCACAGTTTCTGTGTTTACATGAACACAGCAAGACTCCTATTGGTTCAGAGTGATGATGTCACACATGTGTGCGTCCTATTGGTTCAGAGTGATGATGTCACACATGTGTGTGTCCTATTGGTTCAGAGTGATGATGTCACACATGTGTGCGTCCTATTGGTTCAGAGTGATGATGTCACACATGTGTGCGTCCTATTGGTTCAGAGTGATGATGTCACATGTGTCCACAGACTCGGTGCGGTGGGTCTCGGGGTTCGGTCTGTGTTCAGGATCAGTGCAGATCTGGGACGGGTCCTGGACCGGGGTCTGTGACGGGGACTTGGACCAGCGGGGGGCAGAGGTGCTGTGCAGGGAGCTGGACTGTGGGGCTCCTTCTCTCCTCCAGGGGGCGCTCTCTCCTCTGGGGCAGACGTTCCACTGTGAGGGACATGAGTCTGCTCTGATGGACTGTCCCCGCTCCAACTCAAGGACCTGCTCCTCTGGAGCCACTGTCAACCTCACCTGCTCAGGTAAAGGGGCGGGGCTTCACTGCTCAGGTAAAGGGGCGGAGCTTCACTGCTCAGGTAAAGGGGCGGAGCTTCACTGCTCAGGTAAAGGGGCGGGGCTTCAGTGCTCTGGTAAAGGGGCCGTGCTTCACTCTGTCTCTTGTCTGTTCAGAGTTCAGGTTGGTGGGAGGAGCCAGTCGCTGTGCTGGGACTGTGGAGCTGAAACTCAGAGGAGAGTGGAGACGAGTGGAGGAGCCTTTTGGATTCTGGGACCTGGAGGACACAGCTGATGTGTGCAGAGACCTGGACTGTGGCTCTGCTGTTTATGGAGAAAACAGAGATGATTTTCCACAGAGTCCTGTGTGGATGGTCTCACCTAAATGTGTGAAGAAGTCTTCAGTGAGAGAATGTGTCTATGGTTCATCCTCCTCTTCCTCAGAGGGTCTGGAGGTGAAGTGTTCAGGTAAAAGTTTTGTTCTAAATTCTCAAGTTAAATCAGTCCAAATTGGGGGGCACTAGCGAGCGCGATGGAGTGAAGACGTACCTCTCAGAGCTCCTGCACATTTTTGCTTAAATTTCATTTCTAAAGGCAAGGCAAGTTTATTTGTACAGCACAATTCGTACACAAAGTAATTCAAAGTGCTTTACAGAATAAGAAATACATTAAAATCATAATAAAAAAAACAAATCAAAACATAAATAATCATGAAGATTAAAATAAAAAAAGAGAGACATAAATTGGAGAGAAGAGTGCGGAATGAAAACCTTTCAGTTATTTGCACAGTTAAACAGAAATGTTTAGAGTCTGGATTTAAACAGCGTCACAGAAGAGTCTGTCTCACATGTTCAGACTGTTCCAGGTTTTAGCTGCATGAACCTGAAACTCTGACTCCCCTTGTTTAGTCGTGACTCTGGCACCAGCAGGAGGTCGGTCCCTGAGCTCCTCAGAGTGTGAGATGTTCATATGACACTAACATGTCACAGATGGACTTTGGTGCTTGACCGTGGAGACACTTGTACAAACAGAGACGCTTTAAAGTCTCTGAGCCACAGGAGCCAGAGCAGAGACCTGAGACCAGGACTTATGTGCTCGTACTTCCTAGTTCAAGTCAGGACTCGAGCTGCAGCGTTCTGGATGTACTGCAGCATCTCACAGCTCGTTTGGAGAGACCAGTGAGCAGAACATTACTAAAATGACACTTAAGTTGTCAACTTGCTTCTAAAACATTTCTAAGGCTTTTAGCTACCAATAGCGCGGAGAATCGCCTGCGAAAGCTGAATTTATGGCCGCAAATCTGCGAATATACAAGTACGAGGCCTCATCGAACGCTAGGTCCAGTGCAACCGCGGAAGAAGTTCCGACAACACCGCCAGTCAAACATCAAGTCTGATCTGAAAGCTACAAACATGGACACGACGGCGATCAAAACTGATATCCTTGCCTCCCTGCGACTGGACATGTCCACTATAATCAAAGAGGAGATGAAAAAAGCCTTGGGAGACAACTCTGAGTCACTGAAAACACAAATAGAAGACGTGAAAATGGAGATTAAAACAAATAACACCGCTGCCCTGCGGGGAGAGCTCGACCAGGTAAAAGCCGATGTGAAAACTATGGAAGGTGACATGTCCGTTATGTCTGACGAGTTGGTTGAAGTGCACGGACTGGTGACGTGTGAAGATCTGGAGGGGCGAATGAGAAGAGGTAACATCAGAATTGCAGGTGCGGCCGAAAGCCAGAGCTCCAGCACACCGGAGATGGTCTCCTCACTTCTGAAAGAGGTGTTCCGGCTGGACAGAGAGGTTCGGGTTGCGGTGGCTTGGGTCGGTCGAGGCAAGGTGATAA